GCCTTTTCAACAGAAAGTAGTTCTCGTATTAAGCTTTACACTTGTTGATTGTATCTCCGAGGAAAGTGCTTACGCAATGAGATGATTAGAAAGTAGGTAGTTCGGGGCCCCATGTAGACGCGTTCGGCCATTCAGGCTGAGTGCAGACAAAAAAAATAAAAGAAAACATCCAAGACATTTGGAAAAAAATACATGTTATGAAGAAAAATAAACCCAACAACATCTGCCACAGGGGTATATCCAAATTCTTTACTAAATTTGAAGTAAAAATAAAATACCAAAAAATAATAAATAAAAAAATAATAAAAAAAATTCAGTGCGTGGGCGGGCACGTCTTAAACACTGCCATCTTTGGCGATTTGTTTTTTTTGCTAAGTCAAATGCCTTGGAAATCTGAAGATGTGTATCTCACATGATACAAAACGTCAAAAAAAAAAAAAAAAAAAAAAAAAAAAAATCGTTTATGCCCCAAAATAAAGTGCAAACAAAAAGCAAAAACAATGAAAAGAGAAAAAAACAAAATAGTGAGTAGGCGAGCACGTTTTGACACCGCCTTCTTTGACGATTTCGTTTTTTTTTGGCTTACCAAAATGCCTTCAAAATTTATAGGCATATATACCTCACATCATAAAGAACTCAAAAAAAAAGTTTAACACAAAAAGGCCCCAAAATATTTTTTGGCGGGGGCCGAACCCCTTCAAGTTCCGACCCCAAATGAGACCCCGAACGCCCGAACGTACGGAGGTCGGCTTGGGGGCCTCCGTACGGACGGGCCGGTAACCCTGGTGACAATTATAATTTAATAAAATTTATAAATAACATTGGAATTTAATGATGTGTTTCAAATGAGTAACTATTGTATTAGATTCTACATAAGAAACTATACGTACTACCAACATTTTTTATTAAAAGAAAGTGAAAAGATAATTTGTGTTGATCACCCAGCCCATGTGGCTGAACGGTAGGGTACGGTAAGGTACCCCTCTTGAAAGAGTGAATGGGCCTTTGTGGGTTTCTAGGGTTTGTTAGTCCCTTGAGAGATTCCTTTTTCTACTGGACTTATGTAGGTGGGAGGGCCCAGTGCTAGGCTAGTTGCTACCCTTCTTTTTGAACTATCACTCCGACGGGTCTCTGGACCCCTGGTGGAGGAGAACAACCTGGCAGTCCCTTGTGAGCGATGTGTGGATGTATTGCCTTGGGCACTGAGCCCTACAATGGAAAGCTTTTTCAGAAAAAAAAGGGGTAAGTACGTTGGAGTCGCCCCCTTTTTTTTTTTTTTTTTTTTTTTTGAAAAAACAGCCAGAGTCGCACCCAACGTTCAGAATAGGCAACTTATAGATTATGTGTACCATAATTCAATAATACTCATTTCTTGAAGACTGTATTCATAATTGGAGTTTAAATACGATATTATTAAAAAAAATGTGCCCGAAATGGAGCAAAAAATGATAGCCTAAATCACTTTAGCAGTTCCCCAAATGGAGCGAAAAAGGCGACCCTAAATCTTTCCAAGCGCCATTGCGGGTAATGACTGGTGCAGTTGTAGACCCCTGCTAAACTCGCACATATCGAAACTCGCACCATGACACGGGCACCACTTTGTCTTTTCATGCCTATTTCAAACTAAAAGTGTATCACGGCCACAAAAGATTAGCATGGCCCCTGCGCAAGGATGACACTCATAAATCGCAAAGTGGTCCAAATGAAAAAAAAAGAAAAAAAAGGTCTGCTTATCAACAGGTACACCCATGATTTTTTTTTTTTTTTTTTTTTTTTTTGAACAATCAGTTATCATACATATGCCGGAAAAGGGTCCGGCGTCCCTCACATATAAGCCGCAGCCACACAGGGCTGGAAAAAGCACTCCCGACCGCTCCCACCGACTGCAGCCAACAATTCACTCAAAGTTTACACAAACCCTAACCACTACAAACCGCATAATTCAAGAAAACAATTTCCAGTAAAATCCCAAAATGATCTCCCATCACCAATTTTCAACCAAAGATATCCATCTATAATATAAGAACTTACCCTAATTAATCCTAGGAGAGCAGAAGGAGAAATTCCAAACAACCTCGACTACTATCCAACGAACCGAAGGAAAAATTCCAAACAACCTCTACTACTATCCAACGAACGAGAGGCACTCGACAAAAGTCTAATGACCATCTCCATTCAGTACACAATATTTACCAAACACTCCTGATTCACCAATCATTCCAGCACACCCGTGAAAGAGTAGACATAATCATTTTTCCCTTTTTTTTTTTTTTTTTTTTTTTTTCGGCGACAATGCTCCAATCGATTCGTGGGGAGCCGCACGTGCTGGGAACCGGGCCCAGCGTCCCATTTGAAACATGAAGCATATCTGAGAGCATATACAAAAACTTTTTTTATGTGTTCTTTGAATGTGTTTTAGTCCCTATGTTTATTATTATAGGGGTATGGGGTTCTAGACAAAGGAAAATACAAGCAGCATATCAGTTTTTCTTATATACTTTACTTGGATACTTTGAACAGGAATATATGACAAGATAATTCGAAGAAACTTTTTGAGTTCTTCTGTTCCGAACCAGAGTCGGTAATATATTTTACAATTTTTACCATAATTCTTATATTTACGATCTCTTTGAATGGGTCCCACATGTGTGTAAACATTCCAAAGAACTTCTAAATAATGAGCTAAAAGTTTCACAGAATCTTCGTCAAAACCATTTGAGATACCGGGGTTTATCTGGCTTTGTCTGAGAATAGGATCATGAGCAATTGCCAGCGTATTCGATGAAGAACCCCACGAAATAGGCTAAAATTCAGAAAAAAGTCTGAAAAAATCTGAAAGACTATGAGAAGTTTACCGGGGCCATTACCCGACTTTGGCTAGAAAATTCTGGACTATTTAACGACGACTCTGGGGCTCGTTAGACACTCCTCGGGGCGTCCTCGGGGCCCGAGGAGTTTTCCTTTAGGTCGCCCGAGGAATTTTCCGCCTTCGTTGCACTCGTCCTCGGGACGATCGCCCGAGGATGCTCCGAGGATGGGCCGTGGGGATGTTCAAAATAAATTATGCGGCCGCGGGTCGGGGCTATGGGCGGTGGTCCACGATTTGATGTCCGGGTGGTCTAGAGTGGTCCGCATCCGGGCGGATGGAAAATTTAAAATTCGGCGGCGGGGTCGAAAAAAAGGAACACGCGTGTGCGGGTCTCCCTTTTCGAAATTCGAATTTCGAAAGAGGCCGGCGCGGCACAGGCATATCAACTGGGGGCTGCGGCGAGCGGTGGACGACGTCAACGGGGAAGCACATCCTTCGACTACGAGGTGGCAGGATCGGCGCGTGGACAACCGTTCGGCCATCACCGTTAAGAGGGGAACAGTGAAGACGACGACATCAGTGATGTCCTCCTCGCATCACTGCATGTGGATAAGCAGATAGCGTCCTGCGAGCTATCATGACATCCTTCGTTGCGCCAACCACGTGGTCATCACGAGTCGTGTTTTGGTCATGTGTTGTCGTGTCACCGAAGTCTGTTGCCCGAGGTGAAGGCGATGTCTTCTACACCCTATGTGGCGATGGGGAATGTCGGCGATGACGAGCATGCGAAGCTGTCGACGGCGGAAAGGACAGCGGTTGCCGCGGCTGTTACCGTTGTTCTTCTGCGTTGCCGGATGGAGAGCACTGCGGGAGGAATGAATGAGCAGCTTCGTGCACGGAGGAGGAAGGCGATGCAGTCATTGGCGGCGAAAGGGCTGGACACCGCTGCCATCTGCGACGCCGTCTTCCAGGTGTGCTGCGCCATGGGTTGTGGCGTTCTCCCTAGAGCCACGCCCAGGTGGTGGATGAAAAGGAGGACGGGGGGGATGTGGGAGGATCTGCACCATGCTGACGACGCCACCGAAGACTACTTCCGCGAGAAGCTACGTATGTCGCCATGTTTCTTCCGTAAGATTGAGGAGAGTTTGTCGCCTTTTCTGCAGCGCCGTGTGACGTTCTACAGGGAACCGTTGCAGCCAGACCACATCGTCGCGTACGCATTGTACAGATGGGCGTCCGGGGAGACGTACGAGAGCAGCACATGCAACTTCGGCATTGGCAGAGCTTCGGGTTTGGTGGCGGTGCGGGACGTCACTGCGACATTGTTGACGGTGTACCGGGAGAAGTTGTCGTGGCCGACAGGGGTGCGGAAGGTAGTCGTGTGTGTGTGTGTGTGTGTGTGTGTGTGTGTGTGTGCTGTCTCTTATACACATCTAGATGTGTATAAGAGACAGGTGTGTGTGTGTGCATCACCAACAGAAAACACTTTGTTGTGGTTTTGGTTAAGCATTCCATCAACCGAATCCCTCCTTTCTGTTCCATGCTTGGGATGCGTTTGTCATTCCATCTGTCCACCAATTTCATTTACAGTCGTCTATGCGTTTTGCGGACATCCATTAAACACACAAGGACAACATTTAACACACAAACTTTCTGCATGCACATCTTCGTGACGAGTAGTAGCAACCCCGAAATGTACCTTCGGCGCTTGCCCTTCCTTACATTGGAGGTGAGAGGAGTTGACGCAACCGTTGGCTGGGAGAGCGACAAACACAAAATGGAAACCATACACTAAAAAGAAAGAGAGAGAGAGAGAGAGAGAGAGAGAGAGAGAGAGAGAGAGAGAGAGAGAGAGAGAGAGAGAGAGAGAGAGAGAGAGA